GGGGGGGGGGGGGGGGTGGGGCGGGATTGTCACACTTGATGAAATTTGATGTGAAAAAGTTAGTGATCAATGCAGTGAGGTCAATTCGTTACATATGTATAGTAATTTATCAATTGCACAGTTCAGGGAGTATGCGTAATCTGGAATTTCAGATTTCAATGTCAGCCGCTGCCGAAATTGAAGTGTTTCGAATCAAATCTCGAAACACTCACACATGTAATTGATCCATTGGTTACTTCAACTCCTGTCATGCACTGTTTTTCTTTAGATGAAGTTACGAGGAAGTCATTTGTGATGTACATATCGCCATACCCCTCAGTGAATTCTTTCATATAGTTGGAACACGATTCAACCACCGTGTAGAGTTGTCCATTCCTGAAGTAATAACTTTTGCGTAAAACTCCATAAATAACTAGAACGAGTGTATTGCTCACCATCGCAATCATTCAGTTCATTTAAGAGCAACACTGAAATGCACAATTTTTTGATGCTTCTGATTCAACCGTAATGAAGACATAAGCATGTGACATTCAAACCACCAGACGGATTAGCTGAAAGATTCAATCGTAGAAGATCTGAGTTGAAATGCATCTCAACGAGTGATCGATACTAACGGCTCGTTGAAATCGTCGTAACAATTGAAATCACGATTTCCTGCCAAACCACACAGCACATCTGGACCTTGCAGTGCTGGAACGTCGGGTATTTCAACNAACTCCACTCCTGAAGTAATAACGTTTGCGTAAAACTCGATGAATAACTAGAACGAGTGTATTGCTCACCATCGCAATGANAGTCCATTATCGTATGTTGCCGTTATCTGAAACATAACAACCGATAGCTGACAATAACTCGACAAAGCAATGTAAATTCTGCACTGAGTGGATCGCGGACGATGTGAATTGATCATATGGACAGAGGCAAACGCTACTTCATACTGACCAACGGATTGTTCTTGCTCGGATAGTAGAAATCCATTTTGGTTCTGATTCCGTTGAAGAGCAGAGTATACGAGCAATCAACGTGCAATTTTTGGCCATACATCTCAACCTCCACTTCTTTGACTGCCGAAACGCTGGAATTCAAGGGCGTATACGCTGATTCACAGAATTCTGAATCGATTCCGTTCACGTCTCATTTACAAATGAATACCTCTCAGCATTTTGATTCCAACTTCTATAATGCTGCTGCAAAAGGCGAGCAAAATGCTTCCTCTGTTACGGATGTCGTAAATACTCAAAATACTCAAATACTCAAAGAGACAAAATAGAGACAAAATACTCAAATAATTCTACATCAATTTCAATATTGAGAACCGTCTACATCAGTCGGTTTGTCCTTCAGTCAGATTATTTGCATCAATTGTTTGTTCCTGCTAACTTAACCCATTATTTTTTAAATTTTATTTTTCAGTGCGATCTTGTCTTTCTTTTCAGTTTTTTAAATCCATAATTTGTGTTTCTAAAAATAAGTTTTCCAATCTTTGCAAAATTTATCTCAATGCTGAGTGCACTCAACAATATTCAGTCTCATCCAATAGAACAACTACAACATGTCGACTTAGTTTAAGTTGATT